TACATAAACAAATCAGACAGATTCAAGAGTACAAAATTTTGCTTAAAATTCATTAACAAAACAAGATATTTTTATTATTTCTATTTGAATACAGTTTCCTCAAAACTTAATGAAGTTGTAATTTAAATTTTGTTTTTTCGTTTTTATGATTCGGTGTTCCTAAACAAATCAAATTAAGAATTTAGTATTATCAAGGGAATAATTCAGAAACTTCTGGATTTAGTTTTCATCTTTTCGCCAGTTATTTTATCTTTGTTATTGATTTTTATTTCAATGTTTTCAGCCAATTCACGCCCATGAAAATTACAGAAGTCTTAAGTTTGTGTGTGTGTGTTCATTTGTACACAAACACATACAAATGTACACATAAACACATACAAACAATATGCTGATGATATCCAAAATTATTATATGTTAGGCAAATGAATGACAAAGTAGGAAAAAATTCTGTGCAATGCATTTCATCTTCAAGAACATGCATTCTCAACTTGGGGGGAATTTTCATGGTTTCAGGTGGGGCAAGGTGATCTGACATTCTTTTTTTTTTTTATTTACAGAATTTTGTTTATTAAATGATATTACTATGGTATATTTTTTTTTTTTTTTTTTTTTTTTACAGTAGTGTTCACTCTGTACAAGGGACCGCTTGAGATAAAGAGTGAAAGAGTAAAGGTTACAGCTTATGCAAATATGTCAGAAGATAACAATTAACCCTAGACTTGAACAGGTTAAGATTGTAGTGATCAAGGAAGCAACCTCTTAGGAGTCAGTTCCACAAGGCAGCAGTTCATGGGAGAAGTTGCTTGAGTGGAACTTTTATCTCAGCAGGGGAATATAAAGGGAATGAAGGTTCTATTGAACTTTTTGTTTATTGAAGTATGCTTCAGATTATTGATTGATTTGTTTTCTACTGTTTATCAACCCTTTGCAGGTTATTTAAAGCCAGAAAATATTTTTTCTTAGATTGCAAAAAATTTTTTTTAGATAGTAATGGTTTAGTGATACAAATCTTATTAAATAACCCATAGCTGGAGGTAGAAGAGTTAAATTCATACCTTTCCCAAGGGTATTTTAGCATAAGTGAATATAACAAACTCAATGGAAATTTGAACTTGACTCTCCAATTAATGATTTTGAGGTACTGTCCATTACACCACCTGTGCATCCAAGCTTACAGCATGTGGTATTCCCAAGCAATCACTCATCAAGGTACTGATCAGAGTCAATGTTGCTCAACTTCAGTGATCATACAAGAACCAGTGTTTCAATGTGATATGGCCATAAGCATTCAGTTTATTTATTTAATAGTTATGAGCTAAAACAAATTACTGTACATGTATTCAATTTTAAAAATCCATCAACATTTTCCATTGCTATTAAATTTGTAAAACTCCCTAATAAAAATAACCCATGTAAATGTATATGTACTAATACGGAAAAGGACAAAGATTTTCAATTATATATACATATTATTTGGAATGCACCTTTTTGAGTTGAACAATCTTGAAAAGGGGGAGGATGACATTCTGACTTATGGCGAAAAGGGTACATTAGGCAAAAAAATGGTTAAGAACAATTGCTCTAGAAGGACTTCATTATTGGTTTTGTTGATGGAATTATGTATATATAAGAAGGAGAGATATAAAATGCAGACTTCAGTAACAGTTATGTACTGAGAGAATATACAGAAGAAACTGCAAGGAATTTCAATAAAAGATTTTATATGAACACACAAAAGATCTTTTACAAAACACACAATGCATTAGTTGCTCAGAATAATAATGAGTCTGGCCTTAATTTCCATTTTAAAAATTTCAACTTTAATTAAGAGAAAGCAATTTGCGTTGATTTGCTAGATCATCCATAGTAAATTTACATCCAGGTTCTTACAACATTTCACCTTTCTTGGTAGATTTTCTGCTATCACATTGTGGGTTACTTCACAATAAAAGTGACAAAAAAAAGTATAAAGAAACTGAATGAGATTAGATAGACTGCATGTCTAATAAAAAAAATAAAATAAATTTCAACATTCCCACACATTCAGCATGTTCTCTTGGTACATAATAGTAACCAACACTTGCATTTTTATATCTCCTCCTCCTACACATATATAATTCCATCAACAAAAACATTAGAATTTTTGAAAACTTACATATAGAATTATCTATGGTTATAATCCATGTGATACATGACTGACCAATGAAAATAGAACCACATAAAACTGAAAATACCAGAACTTCTGTCTTTTTATCTGTTTCTCTCAATCTTCTCTGATGAAGCTTTAATAAAAGTGAAACATGTTAGATTGATAAATGTTTCTTATTTGTTCTTTATCTTAACATCCTGTCAGACTCCAATCTACATTTGATCTTTAACTCACATTGAATGCAGGTGTTAATAAAATAGTGCTATATTATCAACTATTAATTAAGTATATAAAAGACTTTGAAGAAGCCAATCACAAAGGAAATATGGAATACTTGGCAAAGAACCAATGAGGTAAAAAAAAAAAAAAAAAAAAAAAAGGCACTGCAATGTATTATGGTTTAACCCTACTTACAGCCACAAAAATAACAAAAATATAGGGTTTGGTATGCTGGCCTTTTTTGTAAGCTTCGGGGATACAGTATTACAGGAATCCCTCGATTAATGCACATCCGATTAGTGCGTGAAAATTTTTATATGCCAAAATTCGATTAGTGCATACATAATACACAAATAGTGCAGTAAAACATTCTTCAGTTTAACCAGAGTGATTAAAAATTTATTTTTTTTATATTTACTTATGTACACATTAGCTGTACTAATCGAGGAATTCCTGTATTTATATTTAACTGTTATTTCTACCTTTGTAGCTTGAAGGGTGTAAGTTGTGTGGTTTTACAGCTTTCTTTTTATTTTTTAAAACGAACCCCATAAATAATATGGATGGCTCCACTATTATGATAGTCTGGCATATACCAAAATTTAAATTATATAACAGTCAGTCTTAACTCAGCTCCTGAAGATTGCACTGTGCTACCATTGAGGAATATATATATATATATATATATATATATATATACACACACACACACACACACACAATGCTCACATACACATACATATATACCTACCTACGTACATGCATATACACACACACCTCTAGTAGCTTATAGTGATAGTTAAAGTATTTTACTAAGCTAATTCTCAGTTACTGTCTGAATTTCTGGAATAAGTTATTTCCACCATTTACATGTGGAATATTATGCATATCTTTGTTGTTATCACAACATTTTAGCCGTTGTACCCTCCTTCATCAGGTGTATGTCGATCTGGACAACCTCCAGGGAATTCCTAACTGAACTCTTTACTTAATCTATAGGGGTAGACTGTCCATGTCTAGGTATATCTCATTTCATTCTTATTTTTACTACTGCTCAGTTATGTTTCCACTGAAGCCAAGTACACACTGCCCTGCTAAGGGACTGAACTGAAAATTACTACATCACCAAATTCACAGACCAATGCTTTTATCAACTAGGCTATTGCACCATGTGACTAATTTTCAGTGGATTTTTTTTTGCACCCTCCCCTCCAAAAGGTTTTCAAGCAATAATTATTCACAGGTATTTGTCTGCTTTCATTTTCCAACAAGATGAAGCTTTACTTTGAAATATCATGTAAAATTTATGAGACATATGACTGCCATATTGAAGGAAAATAAATTAAAAAGGTTATGAAATTAAAAAAAAGAAACCAAATTTGGAAGGGCTAATTTTCCCAACAAAAAATTATTCCATCCAGAAATATTTTGAAGATCTTTTCATTTTCTTTTTTTACTGTGAGCCACATGAATATAATGTTTGTCAGTGAAAACTACAAGTAACTTTTCCAAATGTATTAATTACTAATGATGTGCATAAAATACAAAAGGGATTTTTAAAATCATCACAGACTTTGATGGCTTTTAAGAAATTCTGGAATTATTCTGAAAACTTAGAACTGTTTTAGAATAGAAATCATAGGGCTTCTAAAACATTAGTGCACTAAGTGTAGACAAACTAATACAATAACTCAATGAACCATTTTATAGCAACACTCTCCAAAGATAAAAAGTGTATTCTAAAAAATTGTTTAGCTTAATCAAGAAGTTTTATAGAAAAGACAATTATCTTGTTCTGAACTTACAAGTAAAGAAGGTATGTTAATCTAAAAAGTCAGCATTCAAAATTCTTTGCTTCAAAATTATGGATTCATTCATTCATTAATCTTCTATGGCTTTTCAACTCTTTGCAAGTTATTTAAAGTCAGAAAATACTTTGTATTTTAATATTTTTTTTTGAGATAATAATGGTTTAGTGATACAAATCTTATTAATTAACCCAAAGATGGGGAAAAGATGGATTCTTACTATTCCCACAGGTGTTTGCATATATTGGTTTAGTTTGAATTGTTTAACAGCATATCAACTCCTTATGGGTCATTTAATGCTGAAATGTTCTTTTCTTGTGAGCTTTGGTATTTTTTTTTTTTCAATAATGAATTGCTGGGAATTTTTTATTCTTTTACTATGTGTTGTAGTATACTTACTGACAATAATTCACAGTAGTAAATACTGTATATTGGTGTGCAGTTGGAGATTCATTGTGGAATTCACTTAACTCTCTTCTAGCAGTTGACGACTATTTCTATGCACCGCTGGCGAATCTTATATGTGTTGTTCTTGTCCTAAGTATTATCGTTCATTACCAACCTTTGTTTGATTATTCTAGTCAGTAAACCTTCCCTAGGTTACAAAACTTTGAAAGTGTATTGCTGATAATTATACATTTTTATATTTTCATGTTTTGACCCCAGTTTGGGGGTTCACTATTTACCCATAGCTGAGACCCTAACAGGTGCTACCTATACTTAGGCTACATATAAGTGAACAAAACAAACCCAACAGGAATTGAACTTGGCTCTCCAACTAACAATTCCAAACCAACTCCATTAAACCACCCATACATCCAAGTTTACAGCACCTGGCATTCCTAAGCAGTCTCCCATGTACATACTAACCAGGCTCAGCATTGCTTAACTTCAGTGATTGTATGAGACTCAGTGTTTCAACATGATGTGGCTATAAGCTTTTGCTTTAAAATGAACCACTGGTGACAATAGGAAAAAATATGCAGCTCACCCCAGTGAGTAAGTAGGCTCAAATCAGTTTTTATCCATCTAAGTCATATCAATCCTTATTAGATTTCATGTGATACACAACTACAGTAGTGGAGTTCCCAATGAGGATCAAACTCACTACATTTGCAAATAAACTGAAAAACAATATGACTAATCATCTTTGTATAAGAGATACCTACAAAATCTCTGGTCAAACATTGACATTTCTTCAGTGTATTAAAGCAGAAGTCCAAATTGAAAGTTAGAACCTATTGCTATACTAATTTTGTGAAGAAAAAAATCTGCCTTAAAAAATCAGCATTTGATGTCATAGCTTGAATCACAATGACTGGTAAGAATGGGAAATATGTAACAACTTTTAGCCACTAATTTGGTCACTCACTAAATTATTTAGCTAGAAAGTTTTCAAAGTATTAAAAGAAATAAACATTACCTCAACTCTACAAAAAGAATTTTTAAAAATGCCTCTGCAATATGACACAATCTAAATATGAACCAAAACACTAATGTTACATTCAAACAATGACTTTTCAATGCCAGACTTCTCTGGCATCAACACAACCACAGGGGCAGGTTATAGAAAATGAACACACTCAAACTTGATTGAACAGATCTTGGCTGATTGTCTTACAAAAATACAGACAAGCAACAGACATTAACTTGAAAATTAGCTTGGAGTGAACAAACACAAAATCTGAGCAGAGAGGAGATAGTTTTGCATAATTACAAGGATTCAACAGAATTGAGAAGAATTATAGTATTGGCATATACGACTATGTATTCAGAGCATCTTGTTTGGAATGGAGACACACAAGAGGACATAGAAATGGAAGAGACATACTTATTATATATGTATATAAGTATGAATTGATCTGAATAAAGAGTTGTACATAACATGATTATTAATGCAGTCAATTGTATGAAAATCTTATTCAATATGCATTACATAGATATATAGAGAGTATATAAGGGTTTGTCTATATATATACACACACACACACACAGTGGTACAACATTAATAAGTGAATACATAGTACATATGTAAGCATTTGTAAATTAATATGGTAATGTATAAACTTATATATACTTGTGTGTGTGTGTAAATTTTCAGATAGAGTGTATCTGGAAAGGAACAAAATGAATAAAAAGACAAGAGGGAAAATTGACATGTTTCATCCTCTGAGGGACTTTATTGAGGCAAAATTTGACGGACATTTAAACCACTTGATGAATATTCATAAACATTCTCAAATTTAAAAGCCTTGATAAACCAATGACATCTTTGCTCTTGTATATAAACATGTGCAATAAAATAAATCCTACATTTTCCCTGCTAAATTCCCACAGAGGATGAAACATCAGCTAAGAACAGTTTTTCCTCTTCTTTTATTTAATATATATATATATATATATATTTTTTCACCCTGGACATATGTATTATATATTTTAATATTTGCTTCCAAACAAGGCAATAATGCCACTAAGATACTAGGGCTTAAGGAGAGTGAAAGAGAATGAGAAGACTTTTGTGAGGAGAAAAGAACAGGAGGACAGATGATGGCAATTGATGTTGCATATGTAAGCATTTTTGAAGAATGAACATGGCAGCAGAGCATGAAACTGGAAGAGGATTTTACAAGCAAGAATTACAAGAAAAGAAACTATTAGAATAGAACTTATGGTTACAACTAGATATTTCAACAGTAAAACAATGAGACCTAGTTGCCAATCTAGTAGAACACAAATTTATATGGCCAAGATACCAAGGTGGGGGAGATCAATAGCCATGAAAATATTTATAGAAGAGAGAGAACGGAAAAGATTTAGATATAAATAAAATATATCTGTAAAGACAATATAAATAAAAGAAAAGACAGAAGTAAACGTTTTCTATACCAACACATTTCATTCCTTGAAAGAGAGAAAGTATATGTATATAAAATTATCTGTACACAAACCTCAATGTTTACTAACTCAATTACACTGGCATACAGAATAAATATATATATATATATATATATATATATATATATATATATATATATATGTATGTATGATAGATATCTAAATGGAGAGATAGATAAGTGCATACAGCAATGAAACTATAAATAGAACAACCTAGTCAAGAGAGAGAAAGAGAGTGAAAGATATAGGAGAAGCATCTTTGATAAAATTAGCTCATTGCTTTAGGCAGAGTAAAATCATTAACTTCAACAACAATGCCAAGATGAAATCTCGTCACCTCCACAGAGGAATCATCAGGGTGACTCACAAAAGCATAAATTAAGTGAGCCATCTCAATGGCTTCCTAGTTTTGGAGTCAACAACAATGATCAGAGAGACCCCCACCTAACAATTTACCATAATCCTTGGCTCATAAAATGACCACTGGCAATGATACCAATAACATTCAATGATCAAAGTAAATTCATTTACATAAATTCTTGCATACTGTGTGTATATGTGTGTGTGTATTTTATTATTTTTTTTTTCAAATGTTTTTGTCTAAATCAAACATACCAGCATTTTATTATTTCTTGTGGAACATTACACAATAAGAAATGGATATTATTAGGTATCATTTATTAAACTCTACAGCCTTGGAACTATTTAACAAACAAAAAAAAAATGAATAAGTAGCAGTCTCGAAATAAGCAGACCCCTGTGAATACATTAAAAAAAAAAATTAAAAAATAATCAATATTTGGTATGGTTGCCTTTAATTTTTCCTCCTGCTTGTAGTCTTAATGACACTGACTTTACTATTTTGATAATATAATGTTGTATATTTATATTTTCTTATCTATTTTGTAGATAATCATTGTAGTAATCATTTCTGAATAATCATTTGTAAATAATCATTTTTGTATTTATTATCTATTTTGTAGTCTTAAAGACGCTGACTTCACTATTTTTGCACAAACAGCCACTGAAATGTTTTTTTTTCCTCCACTGACAGTCTTTCAATTCTGTTTTGTTGGATGGTTGTTGTTTTAATACTGACCATTTAAGCCCTCAATTAGATTTAATTCTGATGCTATGCTAGGCCAATCAATCACATTTTCCTTATGCTTCTTCAGGTTTTGTCTTCTTAGAGAAAGATTTTGAATCCTTATCATGCAGGAACACAGCTCTTCTTCCAAGTGTTTGAATAAAGGCAACATGTTTTCTTTCAATATTTTAATGCATTCTTCATCCTTCATTATTACAGTGATGAAATGCGGCTCACCATGCTATTCATATAATTCCAAACAATGATATTTTCACCAATATTCTTGAGTTTAAATATTTCCTTTGTACACCTTATCATAAATTTTCAGATACCATCACAGCCAAATTAATTAATTTTTATTTTATCTGACCACAGGATGCTGTCCCAAAACTTTGAATTTTTATCTTTATTCTCCTTTGCTAACTTAAAATGAACGTCTTGAAATCTGTAAAGGTTTACTATGGGGTCATCACCAATATAAGTCTACTTCATTCAGGGAAATTTTATTTTATTTTTGTTTTTACAGAACATTCCCACTGTACAGGGGCCAGAGTCATGAATAATCATTTGTAAATAATCATTTTTGTATTTCTATTTTGTAGTCTTAATGACACTGACTTTACTATTTTTGCACAAACAGCCACTGGAATATTTTTTTTCCTCCACTGACAGTCTTTCAATTCTGTTTTGTTGGATGGTTGTTGTTTTAATACTGACCATTTAAGCCCTCAATTAGATTTAATTCTGATGCTATGCTAGGCCAATCAATCACATTTTCCTTATGCTTCTTCAGGTTTTGTCTTAGAGAAAGATATATTTCTATAAGAACTGTTAATATCAGATATTTTATTTATATTCAAATTTACTTAAATCCCCTGCAATTTTTTTTTTGTTTTTAAATTAAAGGGCAGTTTATATGGATAGGAGGGGAAGATAAACGGTTAACTCTAGACTTAAACAAATTAAGATTGTAGTGATCATGAAAACACACTCTTGGGAGTCTATTCCACAGAGTAGTGGTTCACAGGAAGTTGTTGTTTGAGTGGAACTTACTTCTAACCAATGGAATATGGAAGGAATGTGGATAGTTTGCTACAATGTAAGTGGTATGGCAGGTCCTAGCCGTGAAGGTTAGGCTTGGTGGAACCAAGGAATGTAGTTCCTCCGAGCACTTTCCATGGAAATAGCAATAGAGCAGTGAGAGGCTCCCCACATGAAAGAGAGATTGAAGGGTGGAAAATAATTTCACACCCACAAGAACTCAGGGATGCTTTTGGATCATCAACACTGGAAAGTGAGGACTGGGCAGCTCCCATCCAAATATGACAACATATCTAATCTGGTAGACGATAATCAGGTATTTACTGGAGAGGAGGCACAGTGGAGTAATGGATAGCAGCTTGGATTGAGAAATCAGAGAGCTGAGTTCAAATTCCAGTTGAATCCATTACATTCACTTATGTGCTAATACCCTTGGGAAAGATACGACTCCTCTTCTGCTCCCCCCAGCTATGGGTAAATAGCAGGACAGACTGGGTTTTATAGCCTTGGATAGCAACTGGTCTACCACAGAAAGAAATGGCAACCTACTGCAGGGAAAAATTTGCCACATCAGCCATGTATCAAAAGATACCTGATTGCCTAAGCGTGTATCACGCATGGCACTGACTGACCGGAGCAACCATTTTACCTGAATTGTTAGTAATGGATCATATGTAAGAGTCCCATTTGAGATTAAATGTGGGTTTGAGGCCCAATAGTCTCTGAAGGTTTGGCGCCTCCTCAAGGGGTTATCTGTTCATTATGGCTGGCAGTAGTTTGGGGTTCAATCTGCTGACTCCTGGGAGATGCCTGCATTGCCTGCCAGGGCCTCAGAGGACTGGCTGTTAATAACTACCTTCAGAGATCTACCTGTTAGGAAGGATTTTAAAATTGAGAAGACCCTTCCAG